TCAGGGGTCCAAGATTATCTTCTGTGTCTGTGTTAATTGGTTTCCCTTTTCTTTGTTGAAGAGGGTCTGTGCAATCCTTCTGCCTAGTCCGCCATCTTGACAGACTCCCGCCTTTGTGGTTATTTTAAAAGGTATTTACTATAGAATTGAAATAAAACTAACTTTTAAAGTTTTTTCCATATCGTATTGATTTTAACATCACCAATAAATTGAATGTACCAATAGAAATACACTAAAGTCAAAATACCTAGTTTTGTTTTCTGCAGGAAGGGAAACTGAGCTTAAAATTGTGGACTGTAATGGTAAAACAGAAACTATACTAATGCCAGTGGTTGTTATTATTAGGTGCCACTGAGTTGGTTCCAACTCATAGTGACCCTTTGTACAGTGGGGGAGCTCTGGTAGTGTAGTGCCTAAGGCACTTGGCTGGTAACAAGAAGGCTGGTGGTTCAAACCCACCAACCACTCCTCGGAAGGAAGATGAGGCAATCTACTTCTGTAGTGATACTGCCTCGGAAACCCAAGGAGGGGTTGCTATGAGTCGGGTCTGACTTGACGGCACATAACAACAGCAACATGTACAGTGGAACAAAAGACTGCCAGGTCCTCCACCATCCTCACAATTGTTACTGTGTTTAAGCCCCTAGTTGTAGCCATTGTGTCAATTTATTTCATTGGGGGTCTTCCTTTTTGTTGGCTGACCCTCTAGTTTGCCAAGCATGATGTTCTTCTACAGGGACCGGTGTCTCCAATAATGTGTTCAAAGTATATGAGACGACGTCTTGCCATGCTGTCTTCTAAGGAAAATTCTGGCTGTATTTCTTCCAAGGCAGATGTGTTCATTCTCTGGCAGTCTGTGGTATATTTCCTATTCTTTGCCAACTCCATAATTCTAATACATCAGTTCCTCTGTGGTTTTCCTTATTCATTGTCCAGCTTTCATATGCATATGAAGCGGTTGAAAATACCAGGGCTTGAGTCAGGCACACCTTAATCCTGGAAGTGACATCCTTGCTTTTCCACACTTTAAAGTGGTTTCTTACAGCACGTTTGCCCAACAAAATATGTAGTTTGATTTCTTGACTGCTGCTTCCATCGGTGTTGATTGTGGATCCAAATAAAATGAAATCCTTGACAGCTTCAGTCTTTTTTCTCCATTGATTATGATGTTGCTTGTTGGTCCAGTTGTGAGGATTTCATGTTTTTCTGTAGAGTTGTGATCCATATTGAAGGCTGTAGTTTGTGATCTTCATCAGTAAGTACTTCAAGTCTCCCTCACTTTCAGCAAGCTAGGTTGTGCTATGTGTATGTCCCATGTGGTCGATGAGTCTTCTTCCAACCCTGATGCTATGTCCTTCTTCACATAGTCCAGCTTCTTGGATTATTTGGTCAGCATAAAAATTAATAAGTATGGTGAAAGGATACAACCCTGACATGGTGCTTTCCTGATTGTAAACCACTCAGTATCCCCTTGTTCTGTTTGAACATCTGCCTTAGTCTATGTATAGGTTCCACAGGAACACAATGAAGTGTTCTGGAATCACCGTTCTTCACAATGTTATTTGTGCCAGTAATGCTACTCAAAGCGATGATAAGAACTGAAGACGCAGGAGTGCATAAATATGAGGGGCATAGGGGGAGGGTTACAGGGTAGGGAGGGGAGGAGACTGGGTTAGGATTGGACATGGTAAATGGGGAATGAAACTAAATGTACCAGTTACGTTGAATGTAAAACAAGCTCTTAAAATAAAAAAATAAATAAAAACTTCTGTTATCCTTAAATATGAAGATCGGAAATAGCTTCCCTATTGTGTTTGCAGGAGCTTTGGTAGCGTAGTGCCTAAGACACTTGACTGCTAACCAGAAGGCTGGCGGTTCAAACCCACCAGCCACTCCTCAGAAGGAAGGCTGGGCAATCTACTTCAGTAGTGATACTGCCTCAGAAACCCAAGGAGCGGTCGCTGTGACTTGGGTCCGACTTAATGGCACATGACAACAACAAATTGTGTTTGCAGTTTGGTAGTCTGCTCAATGTTTCTAAATTGAAGGGCTTAATTTCTTTTCATTGTGCCTCTCAGACAACCACTGTGCCGTGGGATATCCGAACATTGTACTCAACGGTGCCTGAAGATGCCGCAAACAAAGCAGAAAGTTTGCTGGTGAAAGAGGTAACTGTGAGATTCTATTGCTTTATGTATAAAGTGTTGCTTTCCTCAGGTAGCTCTGACTACAAACAAGGTTACTGTTACTATAGAGAGCATTCTGTTGGCTGTGATTAGTCTTTGAGCCTTCAGCACCCATCAATGCTTTCCATTTTCCTCTTAAGTATTTTTCATTTTCTAGTTTCTATTCAAGTTTTGGTGTTCCCCCTTGTCTTTTCTTTTTACTCAAAATCCTTACATTGTGAAATATTTGAGAACTCTTAATTAAATTATTTAGTACCATTTTGCTTCTTTGGACTGGGTTGTAGGTAAGGCCATATTATGCATGGATTCTGGATAAGAGGGTTTCTATTATAAGAGGTATATTACATTTCTTTCAAGTACTAACTATGGAAATAACTAATGGTGAAGACCCTGTAGACGGTTTTAAGGAATTGGTCAAAGTCTGTTGATATCGTAGTATCTACTTGCTTTTAGTTGGTGTCTAAGAATCTTATGCAAGTGCTTCTTTTCCCAACCAGACTGCAGACTGCATTAGAGCAGGCAAGGACTGGGACAGACCTACTTGTTCTGTGTCACACTGTGACGGTCCACAACTACAAATTAATAGATGTTTATCAAATGAATGAATGAATAAAGACAGTCCATAATGATTTAGCCCAGCCCAGGTCAAACTGAAAGTGATGGACTATCAATGGACTCTTCAATTCTGGGAAAATTGTTTGCCTGGGTTAGAATTTAATTAAAATTTCACACAATAGCAAAATCTTTTCTCATCTCTTAAATATATTTGTATTAATGTAAGCTAGCCTTACTAGCGTATATAATATACCAGTGTACAATCAGAATCCCATGTATTCTTTATGATCACACATATTATATGTTGTAGTAGTCAACCCAGATCACATTTTGCTATAAAAATACTTTTTGATTTTTTTTTTTCCAATTCCATTATTTTGTATTTATTTCCCAAAGTTCATATTGAATTACGACACCTTCTAATGAGGTAGAAAAAGTGCAGATTTATTATAACATCAGGATATCTGAGTATACTGTTTCCACATTTGCTGATAAAAATAATGTGTGACATCAATTCGCCTTAGAGGAAGTCTTATGATCAAGTAGGGCATCACTGTTCATCTCAAAATAAATATTTCCAAATCATTTTCAGTGTTCATATCAAGAATTATTGATATAAAGTCTATAAAATATCCTGCAGAAAATCTGTTAACTTAGCAAAGGATTGGAAATGTTTATGATATGTAATTCTTAACTCTAACTTTTTGAGCAGAAGTTTTGTGCGTTCTTCAGTTAAATATTGTAGTTTCTTCATAAATGTTTTTAACTTTGTTATTAAATTTATTGTGGAGTATTTTTATAGTTTTGCTACACATCTGTGTGGGATTCTTAAAATCCATTCCCTTGTCTTACTGTCCATTGCAAATATCTTTTTACAACCATGGAGTTTTGAATATGCATAAGCTAGCTTACTAAACTCTCATTCTAATAATTAATAGTTCTTCTTAAATCTTTAGGTGTATAGTCACATCATATGCAAACAATGAATATTTTCTTTTTTTCCAATAGGTATATTGCTTCTTTAGTTTTTTGTTTCTGTTTTTATCTAAAACAGTGTTGAATAGTAAGGCTAACACTGGGAACTTGCCTTATTCTTGATTTTAGGGGAAGTTCTGATTTATGAAATTATTTATTTATGTTGGTTCTGGCATGTCTTTATCATGTTTAAGAACTGTTTCTCTTACCGTCCTTAGAATGCTATCCTGTGTTATCAAATACACATTCAAGAATGTAGGGGAAAGGGAGGAATTGATTTTAATTTATATACTTCTGAATTGTTACCATAGCCACAAAATAAATGTTGGTAATTAAAATATATTTGGGGAAAAAATAGTTACTATATATATATATATTTTAAATGTTGCCTGGATTGGAAACAACCCAAGTCTGTCCCCTATACTTGTCTCCAAAAGTTAAAATCCAACATCATTCTTCAGGTCATTAGGTGGTCACCTAATAGACTACTTCAGATTCTTTTTTTTTATTGTTTTACTTTGATAATGAAAACATCATATGATGTTTCTCATAAGTGTTTTACTTTATCATTGTTTCTTCTGAGCTTCTTTGCCAGTCATAAAAACCAATTAAGTTTATCTGAAATCCTTGTTTATCATTTTTAAGCTAACAGCTATAGATTTACAAATGTTCTCATGACTTTAGACTTCTAATTTCATGGTCTTTTTTCTGTCTTTCTGGGTGTATTGGGCACATGTCTATTTCAAATGTTTCAACAATTCCCTTATGGGTGTAAAAAAATTGCATGATCTAGGGGTTCTTAGCTTTTTGCCATGGGTCCTCAAAGTCTTTGATCTGGATCCAGCGGACTTCAGCTCTTGCCTCTTACCACACCTTAATTTTAAATTGCTAAGCATATCTACAGGTAGAGCTGATTAGCCCACATTCTAAATCTTGGAACAAATTCAGTATCCTTTCTGCCAGTGTCTGAAACAAACTAAGGTCTCAAATATAGCTGTTTTCCCAAGGAGAAGGGCAGCCTGAAAAGTTGATCAGTGTAACCCTGGAGACTTCTGAGAATTGTTCCAGGGTTCTTGTTGTTGTTGTCATTTACCTTCAAGTCATGGAGCTCTTCTGCATGACAGAACTGAAGGTTGCCCAGTCCTGCACCGCCCTCATGACCACTGGTAGTTTGAGCTCATTGTTGTGGCTGTTGTATCAATCCATCTCACTGAGGGTTCTCATCATTTTTGCTGACTCTCTACTTTACCAAACCTGAGGACCTTTTCTAGAGTTCTTAGGAGGTCTTTAGGTTTTTTTTATTTGTTTGTTTGTTTGGGGGTCATGGGCTTCTGTATAGCAACTTCAACAAATGTCCAGATTGATCCCTTGTTTCTGTAATTCCCTGAGATCATCTTCAGTGAAGCACAGTTTGACTACAAAACTTGCTTTCCTCTTAATATTTCTCCTGGGGGAATATATCTCCCCTCTAATCCCATCTTAATTCCCCTTCAGCTGGTTGCAGCCTGGGGTTAATCCTCCTTTTCTCACTTTCACCTTCAACTTCTCCCTTCTCCTGAGAACTACTCAAAGGTGACAAGGACACTTTGAACCATGTGGTTTCATCTGCATGCCCTACAAGCATGCATTGTTGGTGTCATTGCTGCTGGTGTTTTTGTGGTTGGAGATTTTATCAAAATTTCTTCTGTAGTAATTTCAAACTTCAAAATAATGTAATTAGTATTTTTGAAACTACATCAATTACTTTTCTGAAAACAAAGTAGTAATTAAAAGGAAAAAAGAAGAAAAAATTTTGAAAAGCTTCTGCTGAGATACTAACATTATTGTAAATAATATTGTAGTTCAAGGCAAAAAGAATTCATCAAACAATTTTTGTTAGTATTCATGTAATCTAAGAAATATTAAATTTAAGCAATTTACAATTATATTTATCACATATTGTTTAATTGTAAAAATTGGTAATAAGCATTACTATGGATCTGCATGGTCTGCCATGGGAGGAAGTCCCATGGGTTGAGGTGGATACCATGAGTTACTGCAGTGGATTACACCAACCCTAGTGTGACCACTGGTCTTGGCCCCAGCTGGTGATCACAGCTAACCTTTATGTACTGCTTACTTTGTGCCAAATACTCTTCTAAGCCCTTTACATGCAGGAACTACAAGCATATGTTTCTCCTTCTCCTCCTCCATCATCAGTATCTCATCATCACCCTTTAATGTCAAGGAAATTAATTCCTAGAAAGATTGAGAAACTTGCCCAGTATCATATAGCTAAAACGATGCACAGCCCAGTGTCTGGACCAATACTGTCTAGTCCTGGTGGCCCCTGGCTCTTTATCGCAGTGGTAACTGCCAGTGTGGTGCTTTGCTAGAACCACCCCCCAGAAGGAATATTTCCTTACTCTTTGGCCTAACAACCCCAGTATCTGTTGCATATGGTCTGTGGACCATACATTGAGAAACATTGACTGGATTTTTGAAACTAGGTTAAGTCAGCACTTAAATGAATTCACTGAAATTCATAGAGTTTTCTAGAAACACGTATTTTCCTTACAGCGTGTGCTGCAATAAGCAACCTGCTTGGTCCACCTTGTATTAAAATGGCCTATGACCACCCCACAGGATGTCAAAGACAAATGATATGGTTGCTAGGCATCATACTGCCTAGCCAGAACCTTGTTTAAACACATCTAGCTCAATAAAAATGTTTTGTTATCGCTCACATCATTCTACTTTGACAACTCTCAGCCTTTTTATCAGGAGCTCTGGGGGTGTAGTGCCTAAGGCATTTGACTGCTAACCAGAAGGCTGGCGGTTCAAACCCACCAGCCACTCCTCAAAAGGAAGACTGGGCAATCTACTTTGGTGGATATAAACTAAAAAAACTCACTGCCGTCAAGTCAATTCCAACTCATAGTGACCCTTCCTTGGGTTTTCGAGGCAGTATGTCTATGGAAGTAGATTGCCCAATCTTCCTCCTGAGGAGTGGCTGGTGGGTTTGAACCACCAGGCTTCTGGTTAGCAGTCAAAATGCCATAGGCACTATGCCACCAGAGCTCCTGCCTTGGAAACCAAAGGAGGGGTCACTGTGAGTCGAAACCCCAAGGAGGGGTTGCTATGAGTCGGAACACACTTGACAGCAACCTCTTTTGAAAGACAATGGGCATTCCCTTCTTTGAAATCTGGAATGACAATATTTCTAGTGGACGTTAGATAAAATAAGCAATCTCTCCCTTTTCTATTTGCTCTGGTATTATCATTATCCTCCTTATCTGTTATGTGTAAGGTTAACCATTTTTTCACATAACAGTATAGGTTAATTATACGTCCACTAACACACTTAGCAGTTATGTTAACATCAAGGTATAAATGAGCAAAATAGCACTTCTGTGTATATTTTTGAGCACCCTGTGACAACAACTGTGACAAAGATTTCCCCACCTCTTTTA